ATATATATATATATATATATTTAACGAATTAAATAGTAGCGTACAAAATGTACAAGATATATACAAGAAGAAGAAGAAGAAGAAGAAGAAAAAAAAAGAAAAACGATCTTGCAGTTACAATAATCGGAGGCGATTTTCTAAAACGCGTTACGTAAACGAAACGAGAACGGTCGATACGGTGGATGTTGTTGCGGGAACAACGGGAGCACATATTTTGCGCATATTTTACAGGCGTTTCTGTTTAGACTTCGTCTGGTATCTACGCGGATCGTAACTCAGCCGTTGCAATTTCGATTCCAGACCCATAAGTTATTACGTCCGAGCGGTCGTGATTTATGGACAGATGACGCACCGCAATGTATCGTTCTATTAAAACGCAGAATCACCGCTTCGAACCAGTTTCCTCTCTTTCTCCCTTTTTTTCGTCGCGAATTTTCCTTTCCATTTGTTTTCTCGCGCGAGTAACGCTGCTCGTACGATTTTTTAATCGTTCAAATATCAATATTCGATATGGGATTTCGGAAGGATATTTTTTTCTTTTTTTGGATCGGTCTTGTTTGTATCGTATCGTTGAAATTAATAGTTGACGAACGAGACAACGAGGAATTAATAATTGACCTTCGTTTGTTTCTTTGTACACTTCGATTGCGATATTCAGACAGAGTTTTCATTCGTTGTTGTTGGAAACGTCATTTCGATAATCATACGAGGACTTGAGAATATTTAACAACGTTGTTCAGATACACTGGAAGTTCTTTGACACATTAAACTGACAATTGTCATTCAAGAAGACGAGAAACTAACGATTGAATGAATTTGTTTATCGCTTCTTCGTGCTTCAATGTGATTTGAAATCTTAATTATTCCTCCAATGTTGTCCAATGTTCAAATATCACTCACAATCAGATAATAATTATACGAAGAAGCATGTATTTAAAAGAATCTTTTTTCACTTTGATTATATTCGAATCGTGGGAAATATTTCATGTTACCGAATCTTAATCTAGAAATATCGACAATTAGACCTATAGAAGGACTTCGAGAGATTTAAAAGGATCTCTCTACACCTTGATTACATTTTACTCGAAGCTTGAAAAGCCAATGGCTATCGAGCAAGAAAACAAGAAACTAACAATTGAATTAATTAACTTCTTTAACCTGACTGGCTGCATTCTTGCCGACTTTCCAATCCCACTACTTCCGCGTTGCTGTTATATAATTTTCTAGAACTCAGCCGTAAAGGAATTACAGGAGATTGCCCCGCGATTTTTATCTTAAATCTTTCGTTCCTCGAAAGAGCAAACTTTTCTACAGCCTTAACGACCTTTTTTATGTGAAGGGAAATTCTGTATATTTTATAAGACCGTTTCTAACATTATACAGTGAGGTGTTTCAGAGTTCAAACTTCGCAAGTGAGTTCTAGAGATAAAAGTAGTAGAAAAAAGTTCACAAACGCGTCGTTAACACTAAAATTAGCATAAAATCTCCATCAAAGATGGAAAGAATAGAGTGTAAAAACTTTTATTTGTTTATATATCTTACGAAAAATCACCTGAATCTCTGAGAATATATTGCTTCACGCCTATAAAATTTTTAACAGAAATTGGTCATTTTGATCATTTTGGCAGTTCTATTTTTAAGAAGTTATATGCATATACTTATATGTGCATTTTGAAGTGTCAGCCTCCTTTCTTCTTAATTCTTGTGATCAACTGATTTTGTATAAATATTTCTATAGTGTAAAGATAACGAATATTTTTCCACAAATAGAAATCTCAAGATGCAAGATCTGGTGACTTAAAAAACCAAGAAATTGTTTTTTTTTCCATTATTCGTTAAAAATGTTCATATTTTGTGCTATATGACTTTTTAGTGTTATTTTTACCTCTAGACACACAGGCTAAGTTTGAACATTAAACTTTGGAACATTCTGTATATGTGTAAGATCAGTCCTAATTTTTCTAGAAGAAGAACACGTTTTTTTTTGCGAAAGAACACTTTGCACAGTCTTTTCATTGCGCTCGTACCAAGGTTTTGGACTTCTCTTTAGAAATGACTCGCCTTCTTTCTGTACAACATACACCCTATAGCTTCTTAAAAGAAAATATTTCCTTATATTACAATGAACACTTTGTACAATCTTCCTTATCGTTCTCTGTCATTCTATCATTTTTTCATTCAATACGTTCTCCAAAGACTTGTTTTTTTATCAAGATCATCAACTTATCAGCCAATATTTTTTTTTCTTTTTTGACAATGGCTTCATTTTAAGGCATTCTAAATTTTTGATTCATTTTATCTTTCTGATAGTATTTGTATGATTAAATTCAAGTTAAAAAGTTAAATTATACTGACTTTGTTCATAGCTAATTTGTTCTGACTTTAAACATTGATATTTTTTGACTTTGTCAAAAACTAAAATGGTATACTAGACCAATAGAATTAAGAAATACGAATTTTAAATACAACAGAGCCCAGAAATCTAAATTTCGAGGAAATAATAAATTCTCAACTTGAAGTCGGAATTTTTCAATCAGCTCGAAAATGAATACCTCTGTAGAACACATAATACATAAATTTGAAATTGATATTTTCGAATTCTACCAAAGGAAAAAAAAAAAGAGAAAAGAAAACGAGTCAAAATCTTAGAATGCCAAGAAATGGAGTTCCACTCCTTTCCAATAAAATTTCGAATAACGAATTCTACCATCGGGAATTTCATATAAATTCAGTAACGAAGATTTTCTTGAAATCAGGTGCAGATCCGCCAATGTCGTGTCTGCAAATGTCCCCATTGTCCAAATAGCTGACGTCCGAGTTCTTCAGCGTGCTCTTCAGGCTCTCGATCGATAGATTCGGCATCTTTCGTTCGATCGTCAGTTTGTCGAGATCGTTCATCGAGTAGCCGGGGCCTATTCTCGTTTTCTTCAAGTGATACGACTGTATGCTCGGCTTCGTGTCCACCGGATTGCTCCTCCTCTCTTCCGTCCCGTTCTCGATGATCCTCGGCGTGAAAGATCGCATGCTGACCTTTACCTCGTTGGCTCTCTTCGAGGGCAGCAGTTCCACCTGCAAAAGCAGCATGTTCTCACGATCTTTTGTTATGCAATCGACGAAAGGCCAATTCGAATGTGATGAAGTAATTCCGATGATCTTCCCGCAAAACTTTCTTCGTATACTGCGTATGGCTAGGTGTGGGACTGTTGCTTTAATTCTGAAGTATTGGTTTGATCAGTTTCGTTTATTGTCGATTTTTCTACTTTCAATTTTTGTTTCAAATACATGTTCCTTTTGTGGCAAGAAGTGGTCAGTTTTCGAAAGTTAGGGCGTTTCTAATGGAAAATATAGTGTTTTGAATATTAAAAGGGAAGATTATTTACTATCTTCGTTGCTATCAAAATATTTCTGCTTTTAGAATTATGTACTTTCTCTTTTTTTTTTTCGGAAATAAAAAGCTGTTGGTAAAGATTATTGCAATTTGGTGTATGTTTAATATATTCAATATTAGAAACTCTACTTCTGGAATTATATATTTCTCTTTCTTCAGAAATGGCTTAATTTTAAATTACATTATATTTCAAAGTGGTCAAGTTATAATTTTTTACAGCTGTGAACTAGTGTACTTTGAGATTTAAGTCATTTCTCATGAAATATATAAATAAAAGCTTGGATATTCCATTGAATTATAAAGTTTTTCTATCTCCCTTTATTTCAATGTCTCCGATGAAAATTTTGTACTTTAATCGACGGTAGTCCTAGTGTTCCTAGTTTTCAATAAATTTCCGTTGTGAAATGTACCTCAGTTTACTCGAATTTTCGTATGATCAATAGAAATCTGGCGATGATATGGAATGGGTGTTGGGAATGTTACCTTAGTTCCCTTACGTTGGAAGTATTCGAAATCGTCGTTAGCCACTGTAGTTACGGAACAACAGCTTCTACTTCTGCTCCTGTAAGAGCTCATTGTGTCGAAATCTTCGTTCTCCAAGTCGCAGCTCTCGTCGTCAGAAGTGTCATAGCCATCACCTTCCTCCTGAGTCCTCTCTTGTCTCTGGATACTTTGTTGCTCTTTCCTCTGATCTTGCTTTTTCAAGTCGTACGTCCTCGAGTCCAACGCTGGTCGATGGTACCTGAAATATTATAAAATATCATAAAAAAGTGCACGCGATACTTACTTGCATCTTCTTGTACAATAATTTAGCAAGTAATAATATCAACAAGTGAAATGACAGAGTTGCAAGCTATCAATTTTATAATATTTATCTTAAGATAATTCCAGATGATAACGCGTCAATGGATGTTTACTCTGAATTATATTTTACTCCTTGTTGATATAAAAATTATTTATTGTTATTTTATTATCTCTACTATCTCGTTCCAAACTAATCTCTATTCATAAAGCTTCGCAATTATCAAACTTACTCTAATGCAAGAATTTATTAGTATCGTCCAACTTTTATGTCATTTAATTCTGAAATTTTCAATTTGATCCAATTTCATTATTAATTTCAATTCAGTTACACGAATATTTAATTGAATAACCAAAATCTTAGTAATCTAAATTACTATAGCCATTCATACATGGTGTAATATATATAATACCAATTGGTATATTATTGGTATTATATATATAACTTGTATCATCCAACTTTTATGTCATTTAATTCTGGAATTTTTAATTTGATCCAATTTCATTATTAATCTCAATTCAATTACACGAATATTTAATTGAATAACCAAAATCTTAGTAATCTAAATTACTATAGCCACCCATACATGGTATTTGAGAACTAATATTGGTAATTTGTAACTTGCAAAATTTTTGCTGATATAAAACATTGTGCAATTTGTAAAACGAGTTTCAACAAAATCAATATATATAATCTTTACGATTGGCATCTAGCATGATCGAAGCTCTGATTTCTCCTCAGAGCGATTCTAGGGCAGCGTGGCTCTTCTTGAAGATTGTTATCCAAACCAGTGATTAGATTTTCTAATCCAAGCGCGCTTCTCGCGTGCCTCCTCGGTGGTTCTTCACGGATCTCGTCTAAACTCTTCGTGAACTTCTGTTTGTTACAAGGATCGTCCAGTTGGACCAGATTCTCCATATTCTGACCAAAGACGTCGGTGCTACCGATTTTGCGACGACTTCCAGGTAACTCCAAGAAACTTTCGTTTGGTCTTGGACGTTTCTTCTGTTGGTCCACGGTGTTCTTTCTTGTTGCATCGACGACGTTCGTCTCGTGACGTGGTTCGAAGGTCGAGCTGGTGAAAGAAGAGAGTTCTGCGGGAAGAGAAGCGTAATTATTGTCTTCGTTGAGCGATTGTGTTCTCGGGTAATGCTGTATCCCCATCGT